AATTGTGAGCAGCTGTTTTCAGCTTTGAATTATATCAAATCTGACACCAGGAACAGACTAACAGATGACCTGAGAGCTGCACGTGTTGCTCTCAAACTTACAAAGTATGAGCCAAGGTTAGAATAATTATCAGCATGCATACAACAGTAAAAATCACATTTATTGTTCAAAAGCATGCCAAATGCAAACTTTTACCTTTCAATAAAAAGTTGTTTGTATCATTGAAAGCTCTGTTATTGTGTTTTTCTTTTAAGACAAAAGATGTTAATGTATGAGTTATTTTTTCTAAACTAAACCCTCAGTATTTAGGTTAAATTGCCCGTGTTGGCACTTTGCGATAAATAAGTGGGTTTTGGGTTGCAGTTTGGGCACTCGGTCTCTAAAAGGTTCACCATCACTGCCCTAGACCATACTTGCTCTAGATGTGTAAGCCCTGGGAAATATCAAAAAGTGAAGGAGCCTACTGGTAGGAGGTCACAGAAGCAAGAGAAGAAGTCTTTTGGGACCCAGGGCCTTTGCAGGCATTGGCTGTAAATCTGCTTTCATGTCAATGAGATCTGGAACTTTTAATTTTTTTTTTTAAAGAAAGAAGGAATATGTAAAAAAAACAAAAACCTGAGAATCTTTCCAATATATGCTTTGTGACAGATACTAGAACTGTAGTTCATTCTTTTTCTGCATGTACCAAAAGTCAGCCTGGCTGGCTATTGAACAGCCTACAGAAAATGAATAATTTCCAAACAGCACCAAGCAGGAAGGCAACGTCTTATGAAAACTGGCTACCCTGCTGTGGCATTGTATGCCCATTTCCTCTTTGGCAAGGCCTTTGGGTGGCAGCTGGCTCCCCAGCACACACATGTCCATAATGTGAGGGGGTTGTCCACATCCCTTTCCATCTGTCCCTCACAATTGCCCAGTTAACCCCACCCGTTTCCTTGGCCTCAGCCTCAGTATTTCACTTTTGAAGAGAGAGGCAGAGGGCTCAAACCTTCCCAGCAGCTTTAGAGCCATTGTCCCCAAGGAACCACAGTGTACTGCTGTGACAACTTTGCTCACCTAACCAGGGCCTTCTTTGGGTGCTACCCTGCCGATGGGCAAGAACAGCAATTCCCCGTACATGCGCCTTCTCTGTAGTGGAATAGCCTGCCTGAGGAGGTCAGGAAGGCTCCCATCCTCCTGGCATTTCACAATCTATGCAAAACTATGCAAAAAATTGTTCAAGAGGGCATTTTTGTACAGGAAATAGGACTATCATTGTACCAGATTGGCCCAGGAAAATGCACTGTGTTTTTACTGAAGTAATGACCTATTCAGCATCATTAAGCATGTCTTGTTTACTACTTATATTTTGTTCAGACCACAACTCAGTTTCAAA